TTTTTCAGAATAAAGAACTAAATTCAGCCTCATTTTTCCTCAAGATTTACTCATCTGAAACAGTAAATGTATTCATTTCAATCTGATACTCAGTCTCTCTTAGAGTGTTATAGTGATAGTCTGCTACACTTATTTTGAGTTTTTAAGGGAAGAAAGTTAATATTTTTAAAAAAGATAACAGGGAACCTCTGGTTTCTCTTATTTTGATCCTAGTAATTCTATCCATGAGATTAAGCATATTACCAAGTAAAAATTTACAGGTAACATTTTTAGTTCTTCCTGGAAGCTGTCTTTATTATGTTGAAAGCCTTCAACATGTGCATTTCCTTTGTTACACATTTTTACTTTTTTACTTTGGAATTTCCAAAGAAATAATGAAATGTATACAAAGACTGAAGTTTATTGCAACTTCATTTCTTTATTTTTTTCTTTTTTAAAAAAATATTTATTTTTGGGAGAGCGCAAGTGGGGGAGGGTCAGAGAGATGGGGACAGAGGATCTGAAACAGGCTCTACACTGACAGGCTGACAAGTAGCAAGCCTGTTGTGGGGCTCAAACTCACCAACTGCGAGATTATGACCTGAGCTGAAGTTGGACGCTCAACTGACTGAGCTACCCAAGTGCCCCTGCAACTTTATTTCTAATGGAACACATGATGAATTGAAAAATTAGAAACAACTTGAGGAGTGTCTGGGTGGCTCAGTTGATTAAGCATCTAGCTCTTGATTTAGGCTCAGGTCATGATCTCATGGTTCCCCCCATGTCAGGCTCTGTGCTGGCAACATGGATGGAGCCTGCTTGGGATTCTCTCTCTCCCTCTTTCTGTCCCTCCCTCCCTCTCCCTCTCTGTCTCTTTCAAAATAAATAAACATTTTTAAAAATCTTCACCAATAAGGAAATGTTTCAATACATGTTTTGTCTATGTAATGAAATACTGAGCAGGCATTACGTGCACTGTTTTCAAAAACTGTTTAGTGGCATTAGAAAATCTATTTTCTATTAGAAAATTAGAATGATACAATAGGAGATAAAAACAAAATAAACAACCAAATATAGTGTGATCTCAAAAGTTTGTATAAAAAACCAAGATAGGAAGGAAATACTTCACACTGTTAATAGTGTTTATCACTAGGTGGTAATGCAATGACTAATTTTCTCCTTTCTACTTTACTATAGAAATTTCTGGTGTGGCTATGTATAATGTTTATGGCTTGGTTGGGGGTGGGTGTCAGGGAGGAATGTGATTACAAGGACTGCCTTCCAGTGATGGCTATGTTCTAAAAATTATATTTAGTGATAGAAAGAATCAGAAGCACGGTTTTTGGGTCAAGAAGACAAGACCCCAGTCAATGGAAAGTAGCTGAGATTATAATAACACCCCAGAATTCCTCCTTGGTTATTTTTTCAAACCACTTGCCTTTACTAGTTTATGAAAGGCGTTTCTTTCTAAACCTTTCTCTTATAAAGGTTCATCCCAGATTTTCAGAACAATGAGTTCTGAGTTTGCTCATGCAGTCAATCAACATTTTTAAGTAGCTAATCCAGCTGGGTCTGGGAAGTTCCAGTACAGGGATAACGAGATCGCCCCTGCTCCAAGGAGAAGCAAGAGAGAACCCTGGAAGCCAAAGTTTAGTAATAGTACGGGTTTGGTGAACATACTAACCTGTCTTATGCCACGTAAGCGTGACCTGCTCTTTGCCTTTCTTTTATTTTAATCCAGCCTCATGATGATTCTGAGACTTGTCTTACTGCTGCTCTGAAAATATGGAGGAACTGAAAACTAAATTCATGCGATTCTGCTGTAACAGGCAGAGCACATACTTTGTATTTAAAAGATAAGCTTCAGGGATGCCTGGGTGGCTCAGTCGGGTAAGCGTCCAACTGCAGCTCAGGTTGTGATCTCTCAGTTCGTGAGTTCGAGCACTACATCAAGTTTTGCAACTGGTGGTGTGGAGCCTGCTTGGGATTCTCTCTCTTTTTCTGCCCCTTCCCCACTTGTTCTCTCTCTCTCTCAAAATAAATAAGTAAACTTAAAAAAAAGATGAACATCAGCATGGAATGTTATGTGTCTTATTCTACATTAAAAACAACAGAAACACTCCAATATGAACACTAGTTTGAGTAATTTTTTTTAAACAAAACCTCGACTGTTTTTCTACTTCTCTGATAATGGTTTCATTAAAAATATTTAATAAATCGTTACATTCTCTTTCATTCGCTGCGTCCAGTTTTCATATGTGTGGGGTGTTTTATTTTTTGATAATTCCAAACAGTTGGGTCTGAAGTTGAAATTAAACTGCCAGTTATCAGATAATGGAGTGCCCAAGGTGAACTTTACAAAATGCTCATGTATCTGTTTGTCATTTGCGTTGTATTAGAAACTATATTTCTTCCATTTTAATTGTACTGCTGCCAGTGTTGTTTTTTTCTCAGCACACTGCGTACTGACGGAATGTATTCGGTATTTAAATAAAATGCTTTCTGTTTTAAAGCTGGTTTTCTCATTTTAATGTCCTCTCCATATATACTCAAGTGATTTTTAACATTTAAATGCTCAATTATTAATGCAAGTGATTGGAAAGGAGGTTTTTGTTTGTTTGTTTTTAAGCCAGAACTCTTCCTCAGGAGCAGATACTCTCTCTCACTGAAACAGTAATACTTCTGAAACAAAAATGATTTTGTCCCCGAGTTACTACTTCATTTTTAGAAATAGTTATGACTTCATGTCCAGGGCACTTACTTTTAGGCCCCAGACTGAACATCAAGAGACCTGAGTTCCAGCCCAGTTCTCCCACTGACTGGTTGCATGTTCTTTGGAAGGTCTTTCCTCTCTCTGGGTCTCAGTTTCTCATCCTTAAGGAGGAATTTGGACTAAATGGTTGACCGGGTCCCTTAAAGCTCTCAAAGCCCGCAGTTTTGATCCTGTTGTCTTTACTCAGGGGTGTCAGATTTCAATCCCACTCTTTACATGAGATGGTGAGTGGAGCCCCAGCTGAGAAGAGCAGAGTTGATATGCTTGTGTTCAGTTACCTTTCCCCACTGACTTTCGAGGAAGTTATTAGACTTCCAGTGATAAGTAATTCAGGAAAGGGAGGGAAGGAGGGAGGAAGACAGGAAGGGGCCTATGAGTTTAACCAAATAAAAATATTCTACTTAAAAAAAAAAAATCCCACTTATTCTAATGGTACAAAGAGGTTGTTACCAAAAGAAGTTTGGAAAAAGTGGTTATCACTGGGGTGCTCTGTGTGTATTTGATGACTATAGAGATGACTGAGAAGACCCTTCAGATTTGGACTGACAACAGTTTACACTCAAAGTATGATTATGATACTAAAGTAGAAACTAAGTGTGAAATTGATGATAAAAGTATATGCTCTATCTGTAAAAGACTCTAGTGGTTGAATGTTAAGAAACTAGTTTGAAGCTATGCTCTGTCCTGGACTTTTCCCAAAAGGATGTGGAAATGCGTGATGGCTGGTATATATGTGGGGCTTTTCCTTTTTTAAAGAAGTCTTCAATACACATTGGCTTACTCAGGATTGTACTCTTTTGCAATAAGTAGAATGCAGAAGAATCTTTATTTGGATGATTCTGATGGATTGGTGTTTTACTGTTTTATAAAAAACAGAAAAAGTGTTGTCTGATTTACAGGCCAGTATTAGGTAGTTTATTTCCTTTTGCTTATCTTTATCAAAGTGACCTTATGATACCTTTGTGGGTACTGCTACAAATGTGAAGTGAGATGTGCCGAGGCCTTTAGACCTCTTCGTTTGTTAATACTCAGCTACTATAGTACCCGTGTTTTTAAGAAACATGCCACGTTCAAATTTGAATATGTTCTTCATGGTCTCAATGGAGCCTTCATCTAGTGGAGGCTTCCTTTGGCTTCCAGGCTGGAGAAATTTGTGAATTGTGGGAATGCAGCTGATTCTGGCCTTGAACTAAAATGCAGAAGTATACTATCCATGAAAAGAGAATAGGGCAAAATAGACAAAATACAAACATTGCACATTTTTGCATCCGAGAGAAAGTGTTTAAAAATTATATTCCTCATGGCTGGTGGAGATAGAGGATAAAATGGAATTTTCATACATTGTGATGCCTTGTACAAAGCAAGTTGGCGATATTTCTCAAGAACCACAAAAATGTTCATAGGCTGTAACCAACCGACCCCATTTTTCAGATTGCATCCTAATGATATCATCTTAAATATGGAAAAATTTATAACCATGAAGATGCTGTTGCAGCATTGTTCATAAAAGCAAATACTCCAGAGTATCCTGATGTCTAACTAATAAATAGAAGTCCTTAAGTCATAAGGATTTTCTGTCATAAGCATTTTTCCATGTTGTTATGTCATCTTTGAAAATATGCCTTTTGGGGCGCCTGGGTGGTGCAGTTGGTTAAGCGTCCGACTTCAGCCAGGTCACGATCTCGTGGTCCGTGAGTTCGAGCCCCGCGTCGGGCTCTGGGCGGATGGCTCAGAGCCTGGACCCTGTTTCCGATTCTGTGTCTCCCTCTCTCTCTGCCCCTCCCCCGTTCATGCTCTGTCTCTCTCTGTCCCAAAAATAAATAAAAACGTTGAAAAAAAAATTAAAAAAAAAAAAGAAAATATGCCTTTAGGTAAGTGCATAAAATTCTACCCAATAGATGTATCTTCATTTATGTAGACATTCCTCAGGTATTGAATATTTAAGTTGTTATGATTTTCACTATTTAAATTAGGTTGTTCTGGGGCACCTGAGTGGCTCAGTTGGTTAAGTGTCCAACTCCTGGTTTTGGCTTAGGTCATGATCTTGTGAGACGGAGCCCTGCGTCACCGAGCCCTGCACTGACACTGAGGAGCCAGCTTGGGATTCTCTCTCTCCCTCTCTTTCTCTGCCCACCCCACCCCTGCTTATTCTCTCCCTCTCTTTCTCAAAAATAAATAACAAATAGCAAGTTATTCTGAGCACAGTAAATGGAATATTATATAATCATGAAAATGTTCAAAAATATAATACCATATTGTATAAAAATGAGGCAAACTAAATAAAAGTACCAAAATATGCGTATAATGTAATGTGAAGTGGGAAATGGAGACTGCAGAATCACCATAACTTGGAATACAACTATTTTCAATACGCATATATTTAAAAGGCTAGAAAGGAATCCACCAACATAGCAAAGTGTCTTAGAACACAGGCCATGGAATCAGTCAGACTGAGGGTTTGTGCACCAGTCCTGTCACCTACTGACAGCGTGACTTGAAAGAAAGTTCTTTGACCTCTTGGAGTCGTTTCCTACCCATTTGAGGATGAAATAAAATCAATGAAGTAATGTGCTTTCAGTGCTTGGTACAATGCTTAGCACACAAGAGTATAGTCAGTGGCTCTGGTTATTGTTAAACAATTGCCGTGTTAGGACGAGAATATCTTAAATGTTTTCCCGCCACCTTATCTAGAGAAAGAAAGCCATTTTATTGAGGTTCTGCTACATTCTAGGCAAAACCTTTGAGACTTGAGTCCTGCCAGAAGTCTGCCCCAGATCCCCATGCTGGCCCACATGACCTTCCTCTACTTTCCTGTATCTTACTTTGTTTTTAAATTTACTACCTTATATTGAGGTTATCTGTCTATGTGCTTGTCTCACCCACTAGATGTGTTCTTTGAGGGTATCTTTGTAGCTTGGCACAAAGAAGTTAGTAGGTTCTTAAATGCTAATAAGAATGAGAATAAGAATGAGAATGACTGAATGAAAGAATAAGCAAATGATAAAAATTCATTCTTCCTGCAGTTCTTGGGAGTTATTTGGAGAGCATTGCCTGTAGCAGAGGGAATCCTGTGAGGACACTGGGTTTGCACTCTTCAGCCATTAAGATGACTTCAAGGAGCTGTATATCAGCCCAGCTCAGCTGGTTGCCCACAAGAAAATCTTGCCCGTGGTCTCTTAGTGCCTGCATCATAGTTGAAAAGAATTAAGAGGATTTAGGGATTATACCTAGAAAGATAATTTAAAGTAAGTGTGATTGGCAGAAAGTCTTCTAAAAGTTTAGAGACCTAGTTCCCTAATCTTGGCCACTGGCTAGCTGTGTGAGCACAAGTAAATCCCATCTCTGAGGGCTTCGGTTTGTTCATCTAAAAGAGGTGGACTAGCCCAAATCCTCCTGAGTATTCTGAACACCAGAAACAGCCTAATCTCACATATACCTTTGTCTTCTTTCCATTATATCCCCTATACCTTCTCTATGAACCTTTATAGAACAATTTTACCCCTCACAGCCTGGATTGGTGGCTCTCCTGGGTCTGCAATCATAATTCTCTCCTCACACCATCTCAGGACAGGCTCCTTAGATTTGCTGCTCTTTGTGGGAGAACACGATTCTCAAAGGGACACATGCCTCATTTCTATAAACAAATTTTCTTTTCTTTCTTAAAATTTTTATGTTATTTTAGAGAGAGTGTGTGTGTGCGAGAGAGGGAGAGGGACAGAGGGAAAGAGAGAGAGAATCTCAAACAGGCTCCATGCTTAGTGGCTCCCCAGTAAGGCTCCCCAAGAGGTGGGGCTTGATCCCATGACCCTTGGATCATGACCTGAGCTGAAATCAAGAGTAGATGCTCAACCGACTGAGTCACCCAAGCACCCTGAAAATTTTCTTCTAATAAGGCTCTGACTTATGGGTCACTTTGCGTTAAAATCAACTGAATATAAAAGGTTGGAGTAGAGGGCGCCTGGGTGGCGCAGTCGGTTAAGCGTCCGACTTCAGCCAGGTCACGATCTCGCAGTCCGTGAGTTCGAGCCCCATGTCAGGCTCTGGGCTGATGGCTCGGAGCCTGGAGCCTGTTTCCGATTCTGTGTCTCCCTCTCTCTCTGCCCCTCCCCCGTTCATGCTCTGTCTCTCTCTGTCCCAAAAATAAAAAAATAAAAATAAATAAAAAAATAAAAAAAGGTTGGAGTAGAAAGGTCACTAAAGTATTTTCTAGCCTTAAACCTCTGTGATTTTGTGTTGCTTGGACATGGGATCAGGAGTTGGAGAGACCCGACCGTAGGCTTCAGTGTTATTAGTTGTATGACACTGGGCAAGTTACTTTGCTTCTTTAAGCTCTGGTTGCCTCATCTGCAAAATGAGGATAACAATGGCACATCTTTGATGGAGTTATGAAGATTACATGGAATCATGCATGCAAAATGCACTGAACAGTGATTGGCACAAAGTAAGCACAAAACAAAAATGAGCCATCATAGGATTAGCATTGTTTTGGTGGTGATGATGTTGTTGATACTATTTTTAACCACCAGAGAAGTCTCTGTTTTTCATAGTATCCCACAACAAACACTTAAGTCCTGGGAATAGCGGTGTTAAACATCGATTCCATTGCCACTATTGGTAAAACTGTAGGATAAAAATCTCTTAAATTATATGCTAATTACACCAGAATAGATTATTTAAAAAAATTTTTTTAACATTTATTTATTTTTGAGAGAGAGACAGAGTGTGAGCTGGGGAGGGGCAGAGAGAGAAGGAGACACAGAATCTGAAGCAGGCTCCAGGCTCCAAGCTGTCAGCACAGGGCCCAATGCAGGACTCGAACTCACAAACCGTGAGATCATGACCTGAGCCGAAGTTGGACACTTAACTGACTGAGCCATCCAGGTGCCCCGTAGACTATCTTTTAAATGATTTTGAACAAATGATACTGAGAAAGTCTGAGGTATAGACTATTCAGTTTGATTCATCTTCCATCTTGGACCAAGGGGACTGATAACTCACCTAATGTAATACATGAAAAAGTATAACCTAGGAAGTTAGAGTATCAATCATCTATACATAATACATAAATATCAAATAATCTACATTATATGATTAAGCTGAAAAATTGTTGATATAAATATATTTCAATGTATGTACTAAATCCTTCAATTACAACCATTGGTACTCAACCCAGAAACGATGGATTAAACCAACATTGCTGTTAGGTTTGGAAAACTGATCTGTCTCATTTTTACCAAACCCCTAACATTTTTCATGATGCTTGCCTATGTTGACTGATATTATAATGAATGCAGCTGTAGGTTAAGAGCACTGATACTAAAGAAGTCAACCAACCCTTGTGTTAGGACTGGCACTAAGTATTTGCTTAAAGCTCAAGCTTTTCAGACATTATTTTCAGCTGTTAAAAATGTGGGGACAGATGAAAAACAGTGTTATTTTTATAACAATTTGTTTCTTAACTTAATTTTAAAATATTGTGTAGAATTCTGATAAGCCTTATAAACTGTCCTGGGCCCTGTACTATCCAGTGTATTTTAGAAGTAATATCCATCCTTTCCACCTCCTCTCTAATTAGTGTGGAATTTTCCCTTGGGAATCCTCTTTATAAGACTCTGTTTTATTCCATAATCAAATCAAGTAACTGAAATTCTGTCAGCACTAGAACTACAGATATTGCTGGAATTATGCATAAAATCTTTAAAAATATATAATGCAGAAGACCAGGGTGAGAGGAAGAAGGGCAGGTTTGTCTTATAACTGTAATTGGGGGAAGAATTTTGCTTTCACAAAGTGTTTTTGGGACCTTTATCCACCAATAACATTCTTTATTTTCAGTTTAGTTGTTTTTTCTCCTCCTTGATCCATGTCATAGAGCAGGGCAGACGTTTGTCACTTACCTTCTCATAGACAGGGAAGAATCTTGTAGTGGCTCTTTCAAGGATGTATTCAAGATTCATCGCCTTCTCTCCAGGCAGAGAGAGTGGAAAAAACATAATCATGTCACTCAGATCCTTCAAGGCCTCTACATACATGTCAATCCTAGAGAAGGGATGATAAATCAAAAGAGTTCCAGGTAAAGGAACCATCATTTCATGAGCCAAAGAAACATGTTAACTAATGCCTCAGTTTAACCTGCCTAGTTAACAGGTATCTCAATGTCTCATGAGTTAAAAGCAAGTATTTCTACCTGCATGTTATTTCTTTGAGATATTAAAATCAATGTGAGAAATAAGGAAAATTCTAGGACTAAAGTATGTGAGCAATTATGTGGGTGTGAATTTCAACCCTGTGACATGAATGCTAATTAAAACACAATGTATTAAAATAGTCCTAAAGTAATAAATTAGGCAAAGATCGTATTTGGCTGCTTAAATGTTATAACAATGAAATTACCCATGTCTATACAAGGTGGGGGGAGGTAACTAGGGACCTCCATGCTGCCAACAACATCTCCATCTGGACTGAAGGTTCTCAAACTTAGCGGAACAATTTAGGAAGGCACAGAACTTACTCGACAGGTTCCCCCTTGCCACTCACATCTCTATGCCAGAATGAACAGAAAAATAGGTACTACATTAGGCGAGGCACCATGGCATAGTGAAAAGACTACTACTGGTCTGGGCATTGGAAAACCTCTGTCCTGCTCTACAGTGAGTCTCTTAATCTTTTGGAGCCACAGTTCTTTTAGCTTTAACCTAGAATAGCAACGAGTCTCTTGAAATGGTCTCAAATTCTTTGCCACTCCTGCCACTGAGACGAAGTCTCTTTTTCCCCTTGAATCTGAATGGGTCCTAGGGACTTGCCTGCCCAGCACAATGTGGGGAAGTAATGTTCTGAGACTTCTAAGACTAGGTCATAAGAAGCCTTACAGCTTCTACCCGATCCTTTTCCATACTTGCTCTAAGGGAAGTCAGCCACCTCATGGAAGATGAAGCTCAAGCTGGTCTCAGGGAGAAGTCATGTGGAGGGAGAGAGAGACCCTGCCAGGCCCTTTGTTCCAACTTTCCCAACCCAGGTGCCTGACATATGAGTGAGGACCTGCATGAGAGACTCTTAGTGCCATCCAGCGGATCCCTGTCAACTCACAGAACTGAGAGAAAGTGTCTGCAGCAGTAGAGAGCCAGAAGAGTAGCATTCTGAGCATTAGGGTTATTTGGGGATTACGTAGTTGAAAGAGTTTTAAAATATAAAATATGTAACACATACAAGGTTTCATTATAATGATATACCAGTGAAGGCACCTAAAAATTATTAGTTCATTTTCCATTTTAAACATTAGTGAGAAGGATATACTTAAAAACCACAGCTCCTTCAAGGAATGGCTGAGTCCAGGTCTGGAACAAGAGATGTACAGGATTAATTTGGATCATCATATTATACCAGGTAATAAGGGAGTTATCAGAGACCACTAGAGCAAGGTCAAACACTTCCAGGAGCCACTTGGCTCCCACTGGCCAAAGGTAGGACAATTCAAGCCTAAATAAGAATAACAACTAACATGAATTGAAACACATCAAAGGTACTTAAATCGATGAGATCACAGTGATACTAGAACAATAACAAATAATTAATTGTAGGAATCAGGTGAGCCAACTCATTTGGAAAATTGGTAAACAGAGGTCTAGCATTTCCTTTGAGAAACTGTACTCCAGGTAACCAGATAGTAAAGGAGAGTTTTTCTTTATAGGAGTATTCTAGATAATAAATGCAGAAGGAATGATAGCATTGAATGCCAGTGGCTGTTAAGATCATAAAGAGTAGAGGAGCAGACTTTTTTTTTTTTTTTGCTTCCTGATTAGGGAATGCACCAATACCTATGAAATAGCCTTGCAAAAACCACTAGTATTTGAGTCTGATAAAACCTCAATATCTAACAACTAATTGCCAGGAAATACTGAGACAGAAGAATGTGTTAAACTACACGGCAGGGATGTAATCAGCAGAAATTTGGCAGTTAGAATCTGCTAGAAAGCAAGAGAAAACTTATTTTAAGATTTAAAAATACAAGATGCATTTCAAAAATCTTACTGCACTAAAAAGTTTAAAGCTAAGCTTCTGAAAATAAATGCATTCTGTGAATAAAACGACGAGAAATTTATTTAAAACACACCACATTTGGTAAAAATGGACTGTTTGTTGTTTACCAACTAATGGTTTTCTAATTCTGTGCAATAATTTACAATTTGGGGTTGCTATTTTAAAATCCAGATAAAAAAATAATAAAACAAAACAAAACAAAACAAAATAAAATAAAATAAAACAAAATAAAATCCAGATTAAGACAAGACTGTTGTGCTGGTTTGTAGACCAGGTTGCCCATTGCAAAAGGACTGGTGTGTGTACGTGAGAATTTAGACTGTCTGGGAGACTGGGAAGCTATCTGGTGTGCCAGAGACTAGCGAGGTGGTTTCCAAAAGATACTTCTGGAATCAATTTCATATTCATGCCCCAAATCTGTTCGTTCTTGTGTTTTACCCTGTGCTTTACTCCCACCTAGTGGAGGCAAACAACAGATTTCATGAGAAAGAGTCCCATTTCCCTCACTGGTTCTTGTCCTTGCTTTTGTACTAGACAAAGAATCAGAAAATGAAATAAACTGTGTAATTGGCCATGAATTGATCATTGTTGAAAGTAACCATTGTGTAAATAGGGTTTATTTTACCATTCTCTTTCCTTTGATGTGTGTTAGTTTTCCCATAATATGAAGTTAAAAAATAAGAAAAGAATTTTCAGTTAATCTATCGTCTATTATGATTAATCTAGCATCTATTACGATTGCTAACATGCCTAAAGGTTAGATATTCTTTTTTTTTATTTTGTTTTAAGTAAGAAGTGATTGTTGTTACCAGGCTTGTTCCTGTATGTTCCTTCCATACAAGTCATATTTTGCAGCTAGGAATCTTAGGATAGCTCTGGTCTCTACCAGATTCATTCCATCAATTTCGACCATGGAATTTTGACCAGGGAATCTTTGCATTTAACAACAACAACTTGAGAGAGCAATGGTTTGATTTAGACCCCACTCTCTGTCCCTATTGTTCATACATCAGAGTTCCACCTTAAAACATACAAAGGAAAGTTGCATTATTTACTGTCCCTGATGGTAGTAACTAAATATTCTTTAAACTCTGAAGCTGCTACAAAATGAGAGTAAGTAATCAAATACTACTAAAATATTTTAGAGACTGATATAAAAGAAATATTTATGCATTTATTCACACAAAAATGTGTACAGTACAAGACTTGAGGTTGTGTAATCTGGGAGATACAGCAAAGTACAGACACAGAAACTTTCTTTCTGGCCAGGAATGCCCCTTTCTCATCACTTACTCTCCACTCCTATAGCCACCCCACGAAGTAGACTCTCTTTCCCTCTGAACCATCATAGTAAGGTCCTAGGTGGTAACTCAGCCCTCAGATGGGCCCTCCATTTTTTTAATTAAGGTCTTTTATTTTAATTCCAGCATAACTAACATACAGTGTTCTATTTGTCTCAGGTGTACAATATAGTGACTCAGCAATTCCATACATCACCCAATGGTCCTCGTGGTAAGTGTACTCTTTAATCTCCATCACCTATTTCCCCTATTCTCCCCTCCCCCACCTCCCAGTTTTTTCTCTACAGTTAAGAGCCTGTTTTGTGGTTTGTCTCTTTTTCTCTTTGTTCATTTGTTTTGTTTCTTGTATTCTATATATGAGTGAAACCATATGGTATTTGTCTTTCTCTGGCTGGCTTATTTTGCTTAGCATTATACTCTCTAGATCCATCTATGTTGTTGTAAATGACAAGATTCTGTTCTTTTTTTATGGCTGAGTAATATTCCATTGCATATCTATAGATTTAAATATAGATATATATATACACCACCTCTTCTTTATCCATTCGTCTGTCAGTGGACACTTGGGCTGTTCCCATATCTTGGCTACTGTAAATAATGCTGCAATAAACATAGGAGTGCATGTATTTCTTCAAATTAGTGTTTTTGTATTCCTTGGGTAAATACCCAGTAGGGCAATTACCAGATCACAGGGCCATTCTACTTTTAATTTTTTGAATTAAAAACACTTTTGGTTTCTTGTGTTATTTCTTGTGTTGTTTGACTAAAAAACACCTTTTGTTTCATTCTGACGGGTATGAGGTGATATCACATTGTGGTTTTGATTTGCATTTGCCTGACAATGAGTAACGTTGATCAGATGGACCCTTCTCACCTACCCCACATGCACTGCCTGATTGTTTTCCTGGAGTCATAACACTCTGTTTAAACCTTTCCATTACTCCTCTTTGCTTATAAGACAGTAACATCTAATCTCAACCTGGAATTCAAAGCACGCCTTGAAATGTGCCTCCATGCACTTTTCACACATTATTGCACACCACTTTCTGTGTGAACCTTCCATCCTTTCCCTCCCTTCTCCCAGTCGGAATCCCGGAATCCCGGTGACCTCCCATCTGGGTGATAGCTCTTTGTTTTGGGCTGAATGTTTCAGTCCTTCAGGGAATCTTTGCATTTAACAACAACAACTTGAGAGAACAATGGTTTGATTTAAACCCCATTCTCTGTCCCTATTCTTCCCTCCCTCTCTGTCCATCTGTCTGACCCTTCCTCAGAAGGGAAACAGCAAAGCTGGCATTTTCTCACTTAACACCGTAAGTTGAGCTAGTTCTCTGGACTGGATCCATGGCGAGAGCATCCTGGCTTTTCTGCTGCCGCCACCAGGTTTCACTGTAAGGACATTCTCTGCTCCCTAATTACATCAGTTGGGGTCCAGCTGGGAGACAGAACCATACCAGTTACTTTAGTTACTTTAACCATACCTAGTTCCAAAGAAGTTAACTAGGTCCTGGAGAACTGAGAGGCAACAAAGGGGCAATGCAGTGTCATGAAAGTGGCTACTGCAGAAAGTAAGTATCATCCCTATGGCTGAGGAAACAAGGGGATGGGGCTGAAATTGTAACAGTTTAGGAACTTGGAGGCAGGGCTCCTCCCACTTTGAACTCTCATATGCTTGTTGCAAGATCCAAGTGCTGCCTTCTTGACATAGAGATACATCAGATACTGTCTACCTAATTTTCTCTGCTCTTTGTGTGGGGCGCCTGGGTGGCTCAGTCGGTTAAGCATCTGACTCTTGATCTCAGCTCAGGTCATGATCTCAGGGTTGTGAGATCAAGCCCTGGCTTGGGCTCTGTGCCGAGCATGGAGCCTGCTTATGATTCTCTCCCTCTCTCTGCTCCTCTCCCCCTGATGCATGCTCGCTCTCTGTCTCTCTATCTCTCTCTCTAAAAAAAGAAAGAATGTGTGTGTGTGTGTGTGTGTGTGTGTGTGTGTGTGTGTGTGTGTGTG